AAAAAAAAAGATTTATTCTCTTTCAATGCTCAATCTTATTGTTTTGAAAATATGTCTGCTTAAATTATAAAGAAAAAAAATATTCTATTTCAATGCTAAATATTATTTTTTAAAAAAAATATTAGTTTGCGTCTGTTTAAACTATAGAGAAAGAAAATAATAACTCTTTCAATATTCAATCTTGTTTTTCGAAAATGTTTCCGCTTACGAGAATACATCACTCTCTATTGACGCTCATTCTTAATTTTTAAAGATGCTTATTTATAAAAATTTTTCCCGAAGAATCAAAGAATACTCGATTGTAAATTTTCTCTTAACAAGTTTAAGGACGTTAATTAATAAATGATTTTGTAATGAATGTAAGTTAGTTTTGTTTTGTTAAAATGAATTATTTACTGATAAAAAAAGGCTTTTACATACTAGTATACAAAAAGTATAACATTTCATACGATCAGTATATATCTAGTATACGAAAGTATAAAATTTTTCATACCATCAGTATACACCTAGTATACAAAAAGTATAACATTTCATACGTTCAGTATACATCTAGTATACAAGAGTATAACATTTCGTACAATCAGAAACAGAATCATCACACAAATTTTATCGAAATGGGGTTAAGGGAGGGGATAAAGAATTGGCGAAATGGAAACAACTATTCTTCATGTTGTGCATCATTAGTCCTCTCTATCTTGACCAGTGTCCAGCGTCAGCATTAATGCCTCACTCATCTCATACACATGGAAATGAAGTTATAGGCAGAAGCGGCCGGAAATTCAAAGGGAGTTGCGAGGCGGAAGTCAATGACCATCGGTCAAGCCTTGCTCTCTCCGATCACTTTCAAACAGACTACTGTCCGAGTCACCCGCCGCATCAGATAAAGCAAATAGAAGAGGAAGGGGTACGCGTTAAGTCAATGACTCGGACATGGCCGCTTTCGATCGAAAGTTTTCATTCCAAAAAAAGAATTTTTAATATGTGGATCCCTTTAGGATTCTATTGTAACTCAATACTTCAAAATTAATATGTATTACACCGTCTGAAATGAAAACATAATATTCAATTCTCTTTGACTATACTTTTAGAAAATGTAGGATTTTTAATATAAAATATAGTGGATTTTACTTATTTACACTTTGAAATTCTTTGTTTCGATCTTATGAAAGTTGAAATAAGTAAAATTTTCCCAAATAAAAAGAAAAAATTTAGAAAACTTATATTTTGTTATTGGCTTTCAAAACCCTATTTTTGATGAGTTTGAATTTCATAATATATTTGACAATTTAAAGAATGGGATTCCGTTAAAAGAAGTGAACATCAAAAGTTATAAATATAATAAACCTCTTGGTAGAATTGTAATTGCGCTACTGCTATTATAATGATATTAGTAAAAATTTAGAGAAAATGAACTTATTCGATTATAAATGTCTCTGTGAAGAAGAGAAATATTTTGAATTTGTTGATAAATACGAGTGTGGATCAAATATGAATAATACTTTCTTAATATTGACATTTTATTTTCAAAAAATACAAAACTTTTTCTTTTCTACTTACTTTTTATGAACTTCTACACAGTTTTTCCAGCCGTTTAGATGTTTTTTTTTAATTCCGGTGGCACAGAAAGAAGTAGACCGTGTAGTTAACCAATTGCGGACAAAATCTTCAATTTTTTCATCGGTTGAATATCTCTCCATCGAAGACTTCTTTAATGGGTCCAAACAAATGGTAGTCCGAAAGTGCCAAGTCCAGTTCAACAGTCCAATGTTCAACATTTTCTCAGTGTTATGCTTGTAACTTTTGTTGTGTTACTGCGGCCTTATGTGGCTTTTATTTTATAACCGTCGCTGTAAAGCCAACCTAATTTTGGATTTACCACTACTAATGTTCAACTCCGTAGCCTTGCAATTATGAACCCATTCCAGAAAACAAGGGAACTCCTGGATCAAATATTGGGAGACATTTGAATTCGTGGAGGACTTTGTGATGGAACTACCGCGCATTATGCGTTGAGCACCACTGCTCAATGCATGATAATTAAATTTTTACCAAATGTCAAACCTATTAAAGTTTTGAGTACGGTACGACGAGCACTGTACCCTGTCGAGATCTCAAGTAGGCAAATCGCAAATTTTCGTTTTAAACCAGATCTTGAATGCTCTCTGACCAACAACGAGTCTTACGATAAAGAAAATTGACCAAATTCGTGACCTTTTCCGTAATGTGTGATGAAGGAAAGTTCGAGAAATTAGTGGAATAACAAAGATCAGTTATGGAAGTACGCAAAGTATAGTTCATGACGATTTGGAATATTGAAAAATCTTAGCTAGGAGTTTCGAGCGGAAATCAAAAGTATGCATTTGTAAGAAGCCATATAATAGCCGCAGTGGCTCATGGTATAGAGCATTCGCTTTCCATGGAGGTGAACCGGGTTCGAATCACAGCTGTGGCTGGTCGATACAAATTCCGCACTCGGCTTGCACCGACTACAGTGCTGACGTAAAATATCCTCAGTGGTAGACGGATCATGGGTTAGAGTCCCCTTGCCTTCAGGCTAACCGTTAGAGTATTTCGTGGTTTTCCTCACCATGTAACGCAAAAGCCGGTTAGTTTCATCAAAAAGTCCTCCGCGAAGACAAATTTCTTCAAATACTTCACCCAGAAGTTCCCTTGTCTATATTGGATTCAAAATTACAAATCTGTGGAGTTGAACTTTACTCGTAAACCCGAAAAATTGGGCCAACTGTTCAAAGACTGTTATAAAAAATAAATAAATAAATAAATAAACTTATTTTTACAAGATGTCAGTAAGCAAATGGACGTCTAATCTCGCTCCGTGTTTTACAGGTTACGTTTTGCGTTTTAGTTTCGGTCCTTTGCTTCATTTCGTATTTTCTTGTATTTCTGTGCTTTTTGCTTGATATGCTTTTTTTCTGTATCGATTTCTTTCTTTTCTTTTTTTGGTCCCCTGTACACTATTTTAATGATATATTTTGCTTTCATAATATTAATACAATGTTAGTAGGAAGCACTCTAAATATATATATATATATA